CTGTCAGAGACCATGGGAAGGAGAAACTACAGCAGGCAATTAAGAGTGACCTGTCCCTGACTGGTACTTGGAAGATGTTGGAACTGGCAAGGAACAAGGACATCGGAACTGGAAAGAGGATGTCAATAAGAAAATCAGATAGACCTTTCACCTGATGTAACCACAAGGCAAACACAGATGTGCTTGGCTAATTGCTTGGAAGCATATAAATATAGTGTCATCTTTTCAATAAAGGATCCAGCTTGCACTCTACCTCTGGGTCTGTGCCTCCATCTTCACACTCCAGGATACAGGGGAGGATCCCAAAAAGGCTAGGAGGGTTGGCCAGGTTAATGAATGGTGGTGCCATAGTCAGGGGTTTGGGTGTCTTGAACACAGGACCCAAGTTTGTAGGTCAGGTCTACTGGGGGTTGGTGGAGCTAGTCTTGTGGTTTTGGTAGGAGGCTTGCCACACTGGTCAGGGATGCTTTAAAATAGATGTGTTGAGGGAGGGGGGCATCATTCCATCTCAACACACCCAATCAGTTGCCAGCACCTGTAATAAATACTTGGAGCAATGTAGAAATATTCCAGCCTCTCCAGCCAATGAGCCATCTTCATTTGGAGCTCAGCTCAGATGCCTCTATACAAACACCCGTAGCATGGGGAACAAACAACAGGAATTAGAGATGTGTGCATGTCTACAGGGGTATGATATAATAGGCATCACAGAAACATGGTGGGATGGCTCCTATGACTGGAGTGTTGGAATGGAAGGTTAGAGGCTCTTCAGAAAAGACAGGCCCAGCAGGCGGGGAGGGGGAGTTGCCCTTTATGTTAGGGATAGGCTGGAGAGTATGGAACTATGTCTGGGGACAGGTGAGCAGTCAATAGAGAGTTTGTGGGTCAGAGTTAAAGGGAGAACAGCGATGGGAGACATTACTGTGGGGATCTGTTACAGACCACCTGATCAAGAGGACTGTGCGGATGAAGCACTCCATAGACAGATAGGAACAGCCTCACACTTGCAGGCCCTTGTTCTCATGGGGGACTTCAACCACCCTGACATCTGTTGGAGCAATGTTACGGCCTGGCACAAGCAATCCAGGAGGTTCCTCGATTGTGTGGAAGACAACTTCCTTCTGCAAGTAATAGAGGAGCCGACAAGGAGAGGTGCCATGCTTGACCTCGTGCTCACCAACAGGGAAGGGCTTGTTGGAAATGCGACGCTCCAGGGCAGCCTTGGATGCAGCAATCATGAGATGGTCAAATTCAAGATCCTCAGGACAGTGAGAAGAGCGTGCAGCAAGCTCACTGCCCTGGACTTCAGGAGAGCAGACTTTGGCCTCTTCAGGAACCTGCTTGGTAAGATTACATGGGATATAGCCCTAGAGGGCAGGGGGGCCCAAGACTGTTGGTTGATATTCAAGGATCACCTACTGCAAGCTCAGGAGCGTTGCATCCCAGCTAGAAGGGAGTGCAGCAGGAGGGCCAGGAGACCTCCTTGGATGGATAAGGAGCTGCTGAGGAAAATTTGAAGGAAAAAAACAGGCTTATAAAAGGTGGAAGCAAGACCAAGCCTGGGAAGAATACAGGGATGTTGTCTGGGAAGCTAGGGACCAGGTTAGGAAAGCTAAGGCCCAGTTAGAATTAAACTTGGCTAGGGATGTTAAGAATAACAGGAAGGGATTCTATAGGTACGTAGCAAATAAAAGACAGACTAGGGACAATGTAGGCACCCTCTGGAAGCTATCAATCAGGAGAACTGGCTACCCTGGATTTGGAGAAGGCTGAGGTTCTGAATGACTTCTTTGCCTCAGTCTTCACTGGCAAATGCTCTGACCACACCACCCAAGTCTTGGAAGGCAGACACAGGGACTGTGAGAACGAAGACTTTAGGCCAACTGTAGGATAGGATCTGGTTCAAGACCATCTTAAAAACCTGAGCATACACAAGTCCATGGGACCTGATGAAATCCATCCGCGGGTCCTGAAGGAGCTGGCAAATGAAGTTGTTAAGCCATTGGCCATCATATTTGAAAAATCATGGCAGTCAGGTGAAGGTCCTGATGACTGGAAAAATGGAAATATAACCCCCATTTTCAAGAAGGGGAAAAAGAGTGACCCGGGGAATTACAGACCAGTCAGTCTCACCTCTGTGCCTGGAAAAATCTTGGAGCAGATTCTCCTGGAAGGCATGCTAAGGCACATGAAAATCAACAAGGTGCTTGGTGACAGCCAGCATGGCTTCACTAAGGGGAAATCCTGCCTGACCAATTTGGTGGCCTTCTATGATGGGGCTACAGAACTGATGGATAAGGGTAGAGCAGTTGATGTCATCTACCTGGACTTGTGTAAAGCGTTTGACACTGTCCCACACGACATCCTTGTCTCTAAATTGGAGAGACATCAATTTGATGGATGGACCACTTGGTAGATAAAGAACTGGCTGGATGGCCACACACAAAGAGTTGTGGTCAATGGCTCAATGTCCAGCTGGAGACCAGTAACGAGTGGTGTCCCTCAGGGATCGGTGTTGGGACCGGTCTTGTTCAACATCTTTGTCGCTGACATGGACAGTGGGATTGAGTGCGCCCTCAGCAAGTTTGCCGATGACACCGGGCTGTGTGGTTCGGTTGATATGCTGGAGGGAAGGAATGCCATCCAGAGGGACCTTGACACACTTGTGAGGTGGGCTGATGCCAACCTCATGGAGTTTAACCATGCCAAGTGCAAGGTCCTACACCTGGGTCGGAGCAATCCCAGGCACAGCTACAGGTTGGGCAGAGAAGAGATTCAGAGCAGCCCTGTGGAGAAGGACTTGGGGGTGTTGGTTGATGAGAAAATGAACATGAGCAGGCAGTGTGCACTCGCAGTCCAGAAAGCCAACCGTATCCTGGGCTGCATCAAAAGGAGCGTGACCAGCAGGTCGAAGGATGTGATCCTGCCCCTCTACTTTGCTCTCGTGAGACTTCACCTGGAGTGTGCAGTTCTGATGTCCTCAACATAAAAAGGACATGGAACTGTTGGAACAAGTCCAGAGGAGGTCCACAAGGATGATCAGGGGACTGGAGCACCTCGCGGATGAAGACAGGCTGAGAAAGTTGGGGCTGTTCAGCCTGGAGAAGAGAAGGCTGCATGGAGACCTCATAGCAGCCTTCCAGTATCTGAAGGGGGCCTATAGGGTTGCTGGGGAGGGACTCTTCATTAGGGACTGTAGTGACAGGACAAGGGGTAACAGGTTCAGACTTAAACAGGGGAAGTTTAGATTGGATATAAGGAAGAAATTCTTTCCTGTGAGGGTGGTAAGGTACTGGAATGGGTTGCCCAGGGAAGTTGTGAATGCTCCATCCCTGGCAGTGTTCAAGGCCAGGCTGGACGAAGCCTTGGGTGGCATGGTTTAGTGTGGTGTGTCCCTGCCCATGGCAGGGGGGTTGGAGCTAGATGACCTTAAGGTCCATTCCAACCCTAACTATTCTATGACTCTATGATTCTACGATTTTGATTTAGCTTTTGCCTCATTTTCACCTCTCCAGCAAATGTTTCAACACTGCTATGTTTAATCCCAAAATAAATACTATGGTCTTGCTGTTACAACCTAGGAACCTTCAGGTTTTGTTAGGGCACTGATGAAAACTTTCCTTCCTTGGGATATTACCTTTTTTTACTGCTCCCTGTTCTATGGTATTTGTCTTCTCTTTTGCTGTCAATAGCTTGTATTACAAAACAAATGTGTATAAATGAGTGCCTTTTTCTTTCTTTTTTTTTCTGAATAAAAATATGTTTAGAACTATATCAGCAAACAAAAGGACCAACTAGAACATAATATGGATTTCCCTGTTATTCACTGTATAGGCTTTCTCTCTTTTCTTATATGATAGCAGCAATTGGATTTACCAATCTAGGAGTTCCAGATGTAATGTCTACTTGTAGTGTCTATGTGCTTCAAAGACAGCTATTGACCGAATGTTCAGCTAGGAACTTAGGAGTTCCAGACCACTCAATAATTATATATTTTCTTAAATACAAAAGTATAGCATTATTTGCAGAATGAGGGCATGTGTGTGTGAATAGGCTGCTGAGGACTTGATCAAAACTTTTAACAGTTTTACCCATTACTGACACAAGGGTGATTGATTGATTGATCAGATTACCCACAGGACTGAAAATATTAACAAAGGCTAAGATGTTTGTCTGCAGATCTGGTATTTTAAAGCTGGATAGTGAATTTAAATTGTGTGAGTATTATAATGGCACTCTTCAGAAAACAGCACTGAAAACAGCTGAAAGTGGACAGCAAATATTACTGTGTAGTGCATAATTAAATTCATATAATAATTTCTATATCAAAAGGCTATAAAATGGAAGTTAGTATACACCATAAGTACTTTCTTTTTGAAGATCAATACTTCAGCTGCTTGAAATATTTTTCTTTCAAATATTATTTGCATTCTGAAATCGCAGTTTAGCAGCTTACAGCATGTGAAACTCCTCCATAAAAAAAGAGAAGTACCTCAAATGGAAAATTTGTTTCATCAGTAATGATGTATAAATACACGGGGATTTCTCTGTATTCTGAGATATTCCTTTCATAACAGAAATTCGCATTGTATTCCACAGAAGTTTAGCCAGGATAATGACCAATAAAATGTGGTTTTACTGATTTACTATTGGAGTTCATACTTTTAAAAAAATCCTTAAGGATATTTCAGATAACATATTTGTATATGAAATGTAATTATATCCTTTTCCAGCATTTTCAAATGTAATTTTTCATATTGCAAAGAACTACAACTGGAAGACCATGGTACTGCTACCCTGTCATGAGCAAATCCTCTATTTTCTTAGTGTGACTCCTGCACATGAGCAAAGGCATACTCAAGAGCAGGTCAATAGGCAGTATAGTTGAAGAAATAAACGAGGAGACGCTCTGTAGACAACAGGAGAATAAGGTTGAAAACATGGAAACCAGTAGGTTTAATTTAAGTTAAAATTTGATTTTTTTGCAAGCACAAAATTACCTGGTTGCAGTCTTGATCCCCGACCTTCAGTATCATCTCTAGTATTATTTAAAAAAAAATAAAAAATAATTAAAAAAAGTAGTTTTAATTGTGTTTGGCATCAGTGACTGTAGAGGAAATACCAGTATTCCCTGACTCCTCCTCACGTTTCCTCTAAGGGACATCTGTCCAAATTCATTAGTTTTTTACTGTGCGTTTTTAAGACTCATAAAGACTACTCTATGTGTCCAAAATAGCATGACTTCTACTGAATAAAAATTAGACCCCATTCCTTTTCCTGCTCAGTTTTTTTAGCTGCAAAGTACAAAAACAGAAGACAGGATTTCAATATTTACAACTCAATAATCCTGAAAATTAACATAAAATTAATTTGCATTTGTACATGTTTAAGGACATTTAAGTTAAACTATTTTATGGCTGGAAAACATAAAAAAAAAAGTTATTATTGTCTAGTAGATAAAAACAGGAGCAATAATGCATACAGTACTAATAGAGTGTGTGTGTGTGGGGAAATAATATTACATCATCAGGGCAGCAATACCTCAGTGTCTGAAATATAGGTCCACATGTTTTAATACTAGCTTCTGTTCTATACTCTACACAAACATTGTCCCAGCCTGCAGATTTCAACAGCTGAGAAGTGGATATAGACAGATAGAACTGAAAGAATCAGTATTGTGTCCTGATGGATGGCAGCCTTAATAGCCCCAGCATGTCAAGGATTTGTATGTGTTTTTAGGCAGTATGGGAAACTAGTTCCAAGGAATAGTTACGAAGAAAGAGAAGGAAATAGTTTTGCTGATGTTCATGTGAGGGGCAGAGATGGAATAAAAATAAAATGTGCTTGCTTCAACTGTGAAGCATCAAGAGACCACCATTATTGACTGCAGCAGGACTAAAGCTGGAAAGCTAGTGAGTGATAAGCGACAAACTGGATGGTGCTATGCTAAGCAAAACTCTGAAGGCAAAAGTAAAGTATGGTACTTGAAGTAATAGGAAAAGCACAACCAGTAAAAGGACACACACAGAAGGCAGTAGGGTTGAAGGCAAGGCTGCAAAAATGTTCCTTGCATCAGTGTTCTCAATGGACGTTTGAGTGACTAGAATGTGTGTATCAAAACCAGGAAAGATGTTTGCATTATAGCCTTATGAACCCAAGCAAGATTTTTAGCAGTGTATATTTGTAGGAAAGGTTGTATCTTGAATGTGCCAGGCAGAACAGTGAGATTTATTCTGAATGTGAGAACTTCAAGAGAATGGATGTTGTTTTCAGGAATGATCAAAACCTGAGCTAATGGGTAAGAGTTCAGATACACGCAATTATGACATTCCTTTTAGTTATGTAATCAACTGCGTGGCCACATGGCCATGAAAAGATCTTACAGAGATGAGCAAAAATTTTGTATAGACAGAAGGAAATACATCTGGTGTATACACCTAAGCTCATTATTTGCAACGTTTTTGCAGATAGATGACTATGTAGACATATTTGTACATGCAAAGACAACATGCACCAGAAAAGACAAAAGAATCAGTGATAGACCCACATGTAACATTCAGAGGAAATTAGATGAACAGATAAATTAGTGTCCTTCTGAATGGTCCTTAAAAATAGTTTCAAAAGACTGTGGGAGTGTCGTGGTGTAAACCCAGTCAGGTAACTCGTTCACTCACTTCCCCCCTTTCTTGCCCTCCCCCTACTCCCGGAGGGACGGAGAGGAGAATCGAAAAGAATGCAACTCCCACGGGTTGAGATAAGAACAGTTTAGTAACTAAGGTATAACACAAATCACTACTGCTACCACCAATGATAATAATGATAAAGGAAATAACAAGGGAAGAGAATACATCATCTCACCACCAGCCGACCGATAACTCGCCCCCCCAGCCCGACCAAGCTCTGACCGATACCTCCTCCAACCCTGCAGACTCCCAGCCCTTCCGGCTAACTCCCAGTTACCTCCTGGGCATGACGTGCTGTGGTATGGAATACCTCTTTGGTCAGTTTGGGTCAGGTGTCCTGTCTCTGCTTCCTCCTGGCCTCCCCTCCTCCCTGGCAGAGCATGAGGCTCACAAAGTCCTTGGCCAAACCTAAACATCACTATCAGCTCTGTTCCCAAGCTGAAAGTCAAAACACTGCACTGCACCAGCTACCAAGAAGGGGAAAAATGAGTGCTACTGCTGAACCCAGGACAGGGAGAAATGGAAAAGGTTAGACTCAGAAAAGTCAGAAAAGCATGATTTTAAGAAGATAAAAACAGCACCAGTGCTAAACAGCAGATTAAGAAAATAAAGGAACTATAACTTGGAAGAGGTCATTAAACAGCTTATTACAGCTCAGTGAGGTTTCCTACAGTAATATTCTTTAAATGAAGGTTGAATTAGGGTTTGTGGAAAAACAGGAGAGAGGAATCAATGCTGTTATTATGAACACTTTAACCTAGTTCAGTTAAAGGTAAAAACTAAAAAATGTTCAGGAGGAAAGAGTGACTTTGGTTTGTTTTTTCCATTTCAGAAAAGCAGAAATAAAGAAACAAAGAACAGAGTCTATGAATAAGAGTGGTAACAAGGAGATCAGAAAAAAATGATGGTTCGTCAAGAATGCATTTGATGCATTTCTGAATAACAGATGAAAAAGGAAGGACCTCCGGAAGGAGAATGGAGAAGGCCATGCCATATTCTGTTTCAGTTTCTTTCCTTTTTGAAAGAAATTAGAACCCCAGAATTCAAACAGTGGTTACCTACATTTACACAGAAGATCTAGAGGAGTTCAAAGCGATGAGATATGACTGTATGCTATCCAATGTACAAACACATTTCTCTATAAGAAAACCCAACTGCTAAAAAATGCAAACCCAGAATATAGCTAACCAACTAATACCAGTTTAAGCTGATGTAGCAAGGTCTATTTTTAAAACTATTTATCAGTTTAATGTCAGCCCTTAAATTACTCACATAAAGCTTCTGTGAGTAACTGTAACACTGTCCTGAGGTAGATTGAGTGTCATAGGCTGAGGTAAAATGAAATTGTAATGATAATAAGGAAATATTTCACCAATTCAATCACACAACTGTTACACTGTGAAATGACTGGAATTGATCATAACAATGATAAATCATATAATCTATATTAAAATCATAAATTGTACCTACCTAATCTGAGGTTGTCTTTCTGAAGCACTAAAACTTTGTTTCATTATACCTGAAACAAATGCATAAATAATATCTCTGCCTTAAAAGAAATATATATATACATGTTAATATATTCTATTTCCCAGACATGGTGTCAAAATTACTTTTAAAATGCAGTGCTAAGCAAACTCCAAGCCCCCATTTGTGTATGGAATTGCTCTTTGATGTATCAAAGATTTGCTTGCATCATAACTAAAATCTCCCCACATAGTATTTTAACAAATACTTTCAGAATTTCACAGAAACTAACAACACACTCTGGCTAGATATCCACAGAAGATGTATCTGGATTTGCATTAAATTACTATAAATACTGCTACCACTGTACAGCCACAATATTGCCTCTAGTCTGGATAAAACGCTAGAATATTTACTCACTTTCTCAAAGACCTTTGGTGGGATGTCTAAACCTTGTGGTACCAGAGTTTTATTGCCACCATTCTGTTAGTTAACTATTCAAACTACTAGAAATGCAATATCTTACTTCTTAAATAATCCTGCTGATTTTAAAACCTTGAAGACAGGGGTTTGGCCAGTTACTGGTCAAATATCTCTCCTATAAATGGCATCTCATTTTAAATGAACAATAAGTGTATGATGTTTAAATCAAAAGATATTTCAGATAACAGAAGGTCTGTGTACTAAATTAGAAAATTCTACAACAGTTTTCCCATACAAATAATGCATTTTAATGTAATGCCTGCACCTTTGTCTACCTGAAATGTTTTTTTCCACACTACTAACATCACATGCATTACCACAAACAAGAACAGAGGCATCTAATCACTCAAACACTAGCTAGGAAAAAAAAGATTTTATGCTAAACTTAACTTACACTAGTTTTCCCATTGTTGGTCCTGTTACAGCAGTTATATTAGTTCTAGACCAACAGTAGAGGAGTTTCAGAGAGCAGACACATCTCTGAGAATCTTAAATCTTTTTTTTTGTGTGTGTGTGTGTTCATACTTTCTGCCATGTTCTGCAATATTGCCCCTCTATTTTTTTCTGCTTCTTTGAGATCCTGAAAAATCCTGAAGGAGGCTTGCATCTGTCACACAAGATTCACTTTAAAACCAAAAGAAATGATGCATCTTTAGACCAAATCTGTCTTCCTGAAAAGAAGGCACACAGACGGAGAGAATGAAAGAAAAAGAAACAGTATTTTATTCTGTGCTAATGCTTTGCTTAGCAAAAGAGATTTTAAAACTCTGTAGCAGTTAGCTAACCTAGAAGGTTTGGTAAGAGTGGTTGATTTAGATAATAGCAAATAAACTAGGCCCTTACAGAAGCAAGGACACTTCAAATAACTTTAATACTGGAAGGCCTTTGGAAATGAAAAAATATGATTGTGCCTATTTAAGGAATAGATATTTTACCTGCTTAGGATGCACAGTAATACAAATACAAAAGGAGAAGCTCTCACTGAACCTGAATAACGTTGCTTGGGGTAAGGATTTTGAGTTCCAACCTCAGACATTCTGCTATAAAAAAGACTATAAAATATTATGGGAATATATGCGAGAAAATCTGAAACAGAAGCCACTTGGCCAGAAAGTCAAGTCTGAATACAGCTGTTTGCTAGTATTTAAACAACTTCCCTTTCCAAGTATTCATATACAAACTTGGTTTTGAAATACTGTACCTTTGGCTGTTTCAAATAAATGGTGTCTCTGTCAGTCAGGGGGCCATATCTAAATTTTCTTGATGAGTTTGATGACTCACCACATTTGACTTGCTAATCTGCCATCTCGTAAGTGTATTTACAAGTGCATGATATTTCACACCAAAGAATCTATTCATCATTCATGTACATGGCAGAGATGCAGTATTTTCTGATTCACATGCCTAAGTTAGGAAAATACAAAGATGATTAGGGGTCTGGAGTGTCTCTTTTATGAGGAGAGATTGTGGGAGCTGGGTCTGTTTAGTCTAGAGAAGAGAAGACTGAGGGGGATCTCATTATTGCATATATCCCCAAGGTGGGTGCCGTTAGCCTGAGGTCTCAAGAGAAGTATCAATCCTAGACAAAGTCAGTTTGGGAAAAATAAGCCTACAAAGCACTGTAAGATCTCCAGAATTTTTCACAGGATGCCCATTGCACAAATTATAGGTTTCTTGATGCAATAATTATTTTCAACAAATATCCTAAGCTTTCCCCTCATAACCTAAAGAACCATTTTGTCCTGGTCTTGGCCAGCATAGAGTTAATTTTCTTCCTAAGAGCTATTACAGTGCTATGTTTTGGATTTAGTATGGGAATAATGTTGATAATACATGGATGTTTTAGTTGTCACTGAATAGCACTTAACCTGATCAAGGACTTTTCAGTCTCATGCTCTGCCAGTGAGGAGGGGCACAAGAAGCCAGGACAAAGCAGAGACAGGACACCTGACCCAAACAACCCAAAGGGGTATTCTGTAACGTAGAAGATCATGCTTAATATAAAAACTGTGTGGATCTGGACAGGAGCAATCAATCACTGCTCAGGTCAGGTGGGGTATCAGTCAGTGGGTGATGAGCAACTGTAGTGCCATCAGTTGTTTTTCTTGAGTTTTATTCCTCTCTCTCTCTCTGTTATTTCCCTTTTCATCACTATTATTATTACTACTATATACTACTATATTACTATTATATACTACTATGACAGTTGTTAAACTGTTCTTAACTAAACCTGTTCTTAACTTTACCTTTTTCTGGTTCTCCTCCTCGATCACACGGGGTAGGGGGAAGGTGCACTAAGCAAGTTGCTATGCAGTACTTAGTTGCCAGTTAGAGTTAAACCATGACATATATATAGCAGATGTGAGACAATTTTACCTCTAAGACTTCCCTCTAACACCTCTAAATTGAGGGTTGGAACTAGATGAAGTTCTTTCCAACTCTAACTATTCTATGATTCTATGTCTTACCAATCTATCTAAATGTCTAATGTAAAGAAGAAATAGCTTCTCAAATCATAAAATATGTCAAAAAATACAACTCTTCTGAATTAAAAAAAGGCTGTGTAGTCACAGAACTTGCGATATAAAGTAACTGCTTGCAATTAAGTCCAAGTTTTGAATGAAATTACCAGCTCCAGTCAGCAAGTGACATTATTAAATGGGTATTTATTATTTCCTACCATAGTACTATGGTAGGAAATATGTAGGAAATTTCTGTAGGAAATATTTCCTATTATTCCATAGTAGGAAATATGTATCCTCAAATATAGGAAATGTTATCCTCAAAAATAGTTAAATTTGGAACTAAATGATAACCTGAAATCAGAGCCAAATCATTGAGAGTATCCTCATTCCAGAAATCCTGGTTATTCAGCTGGATATTTTTGAATGCTTTGAGATTACACAAAACTCAAGTTCTGGCACGTATGTAAACAAGTCATTTTTTAATTTAAAGTTTAAAGAGATATAGGAGACCCTTCTGGAGACACATCACTGGGATATTCTTCTGACAAGTCTCTTACATGTGCTCTCTTTCTTACATGGTAAAGTCTGAATGCTACCACATTGCAGAAATTTCTGCAAGGAAAGGAGTCCTGAATCTCGACATCTTTGCTTACTGGTTGAAAGTTAGATAGAATCATAGAATAGTTAGGGTTGGAAAGGACCTTAAGATCATCTAGTTCCAACCCCCCTGCCACGGGCAGGGACACCTCACACTAAACCATGCCACCCAAGGCTTTGTCCAACCTGGCCTTGAACACCGCCAGGGATGGAGCATTCACAACTTCCCTGGGCAACCTATTCCAGTGCCTCACCACCCTTACAGTAAAGAACTTCCTCCTTATATCCAATCTAAACTTCCCCTGAAGTTCTGAAATTCCTCCAAATACTGGAAATGTATATTAAATTATGAAGTAACAGAAAAAGTGAGATACAGCACAACTACAGGACTGTGCATTGAGAATTCTTAGCATCATGACAAGCTAGGAGCTGAGCAGTTCTGAGTGGTCCAAATATATGTTCACCTTCTTATCGTGAGGAAGGTGAGAGGGGAAGTATATAAAACCCTAGGGATAAGAGCATTTTTTACACACAACTAGTCTTTCAATATATTTTAGGCATTGTCCTGAATGCTGTGTAAATGATTCAAGGAAAGCAAAAATATTTTCAAAAAAATATTCCCAGACACAGAATAAACTTTTAAATTCTTTAACATTCAACTGACACACTGGCTTTACTGGACTGTTATACATTAAAAAATACCACATATTTTCCTTCTATTTGGTTTTATCAGCAGAAATGCAGGTACAGCTGTAAATCAAAACCAAACAGAAATCTCTTCAATTTGACAAAGCTAAAGTAAAATTGGGAGCCTTCTAAATTTCAAAATGAGAAAAAAAAAAAAAGCAATCAATAAACTGTTATAGTCCCATCACTTTTTGAGTCAATATGTCCCTATCCTCCATTGATCTTTATCATTTCAAATTATAAGGACTTCAGGGGAAAAAAAAACCTGTATCTCTCACTACTGCCTCTACACTTCTGAAATGCGCAGAATAAGTGCCATGAACAACTATCCCAGAGCCTACATACTCTGCAGTTAGCAATCTTTAGAATTGTTAAAGATGCTAATCTTGCAGAACTACATTGTCTAGAACAAGAACGATAATCCTTTTCTTAAAACAAAATTGAAAAACACAGGGTATGTAAAATTACTAAAAATATTATGACAATTAGTGGAATATGAAAATAGCTAACCACTATTACAGTGTCACTCGCATGCATACCAGCTTCTGCACCACTGAAGAGCTCAGCGTATCGCACCTTTTTACAAAATAGCACCCCACTTTTAATTAGAGTGATATTTTTCTACATTTGCAGATCATATTTTCTCTGTAAGTGATGTGGTGGCAGCATAATTAGACAAACACTTTCAAGACCATGATCAATAAACCCAAAACTGAAACTCACATTTTCATGTTAGCAGTTTCCAAGTCAGCTAGATCAAAGTTAGTCTCATTTTCCCCTGTAATGCTGACATGCTTGATAAAACCATGGCTGATAATTCAGTTAGCCCCATTTTAGCAATGAATGGAGCATAGACCAAGCAATACCCAAGTATCCTGAATATTTTTTTAAAGCTATCTTTTCTTTTTACCTGAAAAGAAGAAAAATCTGCAGCATTAATCACAACTGATCTACAACACTTCAACATTAAGTAGAAACTACAGGTGATCTCAGAATGTATAATTAAAGAGTTATTTTTCTGAAAAAAAGCATTCCTGAACTATCTATATAACAATTTAACTCTACACTGGAACGAAGATAGGCAATGACTTGTAGAAATGCTGATGAAAGTTACTGGGATTAATAGGAGCTGACAGGATATTTTCACTTAAAATATTTCATTAAATCAATGGAAACATGGTAAAAAAGTATTTAAATATTAGAAAAAGTTGATGCTTTGTTGATGTCCAAATCTTAACAAAAAAAAAAAAGTAACAACAAAGAAATCATTAACAATAACACTTTGGGTGCAGCAAGTTACAAACTACACAAAGATTTCTAATGTCTGTGTACAATGTTGAACTAGCCCACAAAGAATTACATTTCTAGGAGATGCACAATATGTTATTCTTCAGTATTAACACCAAAATAGAACATTGCCTCTGCAGGCTGCTTTTCCTCAAGGGGTTCCTTCTACACAGCCCCATCCCACAGTCAGACTAGGTTTCCCTGTACCATGTAACCATCTCGTTACTCTCTTAGCACAAGAAAGTAACAAAGAAAAGACACTTACTTTTTAAAGAAAACTGATAATAAACTCAGGGCTGGTTAGCCACAGGTCCTCTGGTCTTTAGCATGGCAGGCAAATCGTATTAATGGATTTAGGTAGAATTATCAAATCATTTATTTTCCCTGCACTAATGGCTAGAAATTTTAATTAAAACCAGTACCTGTGCCAAAATCTAAAGGAAATTCAGCTACCAAATAGACTACAAACAGATAAAGTAATGTTATTCTAATTTTTTTGTAGCCTAGGTCCTTGCAACAATGACATTTTTTAATCTTCAGAAAACTGAATACATTTCCCCTTTTAAAAGTACAGTTTAAATCACAGATGTTCTGCCAGCACTTCATGGGATGAATAGAAAGCTCAAATTTTGCTCAGTTTTTTTATCGATCTTTTTCAAATCTCCTTTTCAGATATAAATCTATATCTATAATAAAATCAAAAATCCTTTTACTTAAAATAACTGGCTTTAATTGAAATCTATAGGCATTAGTGCAGAGAAAATAAATGATTTGATAATTAAAGATGTTTTAGATCTCTTTTTTATATATATATATATATATTTATAATAAAATCCAAAATCTTTTCACTTAATATAACACCAAAGACAGCTAGTGCTTTCCTATCTGATTATCATAAATAACTACAGGCAGAATTAACAAGGTGTTTTGTCACATAATCCCCTCCTAATTTGAATCTAAGCATTAAGCATTCCTTCAATTCCATTCAGTCAATTCACTTAGACAGCTAAAGCTTACCTCTTTCAATTTTCCTTTTTACAGCCTCTAATCACACAATCCATTTATCCATATGCACAGCATTATTGTTAGAGACAAAAGTTTTCATACCCTTCTGTTTCTTATCAACACTAATTATCTTATGCTTCATATTTAAAAACACCTTCTTTGTCAAGGTGCTCAATGATATTCCAGTTTTCACAGCCATTACTGCAAAATATGGGGATAAGCTACGCAAAGACCATGTGATGCCAAATGTGTTGTAATCAAATGGTTGTCACAGAGGCAACCACAGTTACTTTATTTTTCTTTCCTTAGGACTGACAACAGATAGTGATCTTGTATTAAATAATGAAATATCCTAATATTTTGGAATAAACAACTACTTTTTTGTTAGAAAGTAGTGAATGCTTCATTCTTAAGGAATCTTACCAATAGCAGACTCTTTCACATGACTTGAAGTGGAGCTGCTTAAGTTTTTCAGTATGTCCAGCTCATCATCTAGTTTAGTGAACATATCTGCACATAAAAATGAAAGCAAAGAATCTTTTAACCCAGCTCCAACCAGGATAATAGTACTTGTGATGTTCCTTTTGCTATCGACTACCTTTCTCTGAGTTCTCTGAAGTGCTGTGATCCTCTAGCAGGATTTCTTCATATGTTCTTTCCTCATCTTTTGCATGCGCAGACTGACATCTTTCAACTGGGAGATCAGTGTTTTCTGAAAGTTCACTTTTGCTGCAATGAGGGGCTCCATTGCTGCTGCTATGAAGACTCAACTTCTCATAATTTTTCTGACAAGAAAGAAGGAAATAATGTTACATACTGTCCTTATCCAGCACTTATTAGAAAACCTGCAAATGAAAGTTTCACTTGTATAACTGTAGTTTTTGTTCCCACTCAGCTGCTAGTCCAGGACTACATGTTATCTGATTCAGCCACCAATTCTAAATTTAAAGCAAAATTTTCAAAGTCTTAATCTAAACAAATTCTTTCTAGCGTTTACATAAAAGGCATATTTGTTCTTGATGGCGGTTTTCTCATAACAATCACTGAAAGTAGAAAAAAATATGAAACAAATGACAGACCAGAAAGAAATAGTGAACAACACAAAAAAAATAAAAAGACTGGACAAAGATAGTAGGTTCCCAGATACAAGCAATGGGAGGTTTACTCTCTTCCAGCTTAGATAATAAACAGTAGACCAGTTCTGGAAAGTGCAAAACCTGCACAAATACCAAGATGGTAATAAAATATGAAGTGCACTTGATATGATGTGATGCCAAAAAGATCCCCCAACTCTGAACTGACCAAATGTGGACTGGCATTACCAAAGCAGAGCTAAGAAAATCAAAACATGGAATAAAAATTGTCTGTAATATTTAAGTGCTGAATCTTATCTGTAGCATGGGTTCATTACTGAGTATAAAATTCTGCCTCTGCTGCTGTCAATATTTATAGCTTTTCTGGAAAAAATAGAGATCCTTCATCCCTATTATTACTTCAATTTTAATGCAACCTATTTTGAAGGCAGACTGTCTTTATGGTCTCTTTACATATTGTTCCAAGTCTTCTTATATTATTTCTGTTGTGCATAAATAAATTCATGTTCCTTTTTAGTCTTGTCAGAGCAAAATGCAATAAAGGAGAACAAGAGCTAAATTACATAAATAGATTAGACAAATTAGTATGTTTAAGGCTAAAGTAATTTCAGGAAATAATACAGTCTTAAATATTTCTGTCCTTAACAAGTGTATCAAAGACAATTTGTCCTGTATCTAAGACACTGTACATCCAAAGTTTTTCCTATGAAGTATTTTGACTTTATTGGGACACATTAGAAATCCTTCCTCCTTCAGAAACCTAGTTGCACCCCTGAGCACTGACTGTATCACTGCCTGCTTAATGGTCTGCTTAAATTGCTTCCACATCTTTTGTTCTATTCCCAGAACTATAACTTAACTTGTAAGAGGTGGCTTGTTAAGCTTTTCTCTTTAAATTCAGGTAGAAAAGGATCATTTTATACTCAAGTACTGAACCAAGCTTATGTTTGAGATGCAACAATACCAGTGACTGCAGTATAACACAGCATGGCAACCACTAAGTATGACTCTCAAACTCACTTACAGAAAGCAGTCTAGTCATGGCATGTGAGCACACTAGTTGTACCCTCAACAGTTGATGCACAATTAGTGAAGAGAACTAATTCATCTGTTCTATATCAAAGAAAATAAAGAGAGAGAAGGGTCAAACTGCATGGACATTTCATACTTAAATCCCCTTTCCACATTGCCAATCCTGAACCTTGCATGAAAAGATCAACTGTTGACAACTTGTAAATCAGATGAAGCTAAGGGGGGGGAGATCAAAAAGACTGCTGTTACCAGTTGGTGTCAGCAGCAAGCTGCCACATGAAGAAAGGAAGCCAGTTTGAAATGCATGAACTAAATTCTGTAGACATCATGATAAAAATATTCATCAGACCTGTTACAGAATCTGTTCAGAGATCAGTGCAATGTACCCTACAGTCTTAAAGCAGTTATATAAACTGTAAAGCTATAACATGTCTATACATAAAATCTGGTCCTTTTACATAATATCTGAACACAAAGAACTATAGTATTTCATTACTTATCTGAGAGTAACAAATAAATTTACTGTGATATATTTTGCCCTACCTTGACAATAGCTAATAATTTTCAAAAGTGAGATTATATACTGTTGTTTCTCAGGACACCTGACTCATTTAGAAGAACAAAAGTATCCTGTTTGGAGGAGACTGGGATGTAAGTTCAATGCCACTTCTGCTCAGCATTGCAGTGGGACCATAACCTACATAGGCATTTAAAACCATAATTTTGTGAGAAAAGCATGGAGAAAGTATTCTCCAACACGCTGAAACAACCATTTCCATATGTCTCGAAGTCTCAGAGAGACATCTTTCAGATAAGCAGAAAGACAGATACTTATGTTTTGAAGAAATGTGTGAAACAGTGGAATGTTCAAAACATCACAAACATTGAAACATGAAGTAGGTCGATACATATTCATTTGAGCTGTGCTCATACCTACACCTGATTCTAGAGTCCAGTATTTTACAAATCTTCCTTGAGGCTTCATCAGTTGATCCAGTTTATGTTCACATTTTCACAATAATTAGACATGGTTTCCCCATGTGTCAGGTTTTTTTTGCCAGCTTTGTGGAAATAAACTCTGCTTTCTAGCATTAGAAAAACACAGTTCAAAAGGAAACCTAAGGGGAAAAGGGTTCCTGTGGAAAAGATGTTCAAACTATGAACCAAGTAAAATTTTTTTCCAGAATTCATCTTTCCTTATGACTGAGTAAAAGTGTCTCTGGAAATACAGATATTGGTCTCTTGTTTAGCTCAGGTAGTTGTAAGAGACCAATAAGGTCTCCTCTGAGCCTCTTTCTCCAGGCTGAACCTCAGACATAGTCCTGTCAGAAAACAGCTATACTGTTTCTTTCATTATTTCCAACCAATAAATAGTTGAACTGCTTCTGTAAGAAAGAGCCAGGCAGGCTTGTTAGCATAGGCTGTAACCAAGCTGCCTGAAAGACATTATCAGAGTCTATCTTCTAGCAGTAGCATCCTAGTCCACCGGAAAAAAAATACCTTGCTGCCTGCAGATCTAGGTCTGGGAGGATGAGTGTTGGCCTGCAGCTAAAAGTCCTATCTAGATGAAAGATCACTCACTTGGGTCTACATGCCATGCTCTTCTGCATGCTGGGTTAGGGGAAGACTTACCAGTTCAAGTGTGAAAACAGAAAAATTAGGGAAAGAATCTTGCTAATAAGCATTCTTGTGCACCTGAAGATTAGGGCAAAGCACTCAGCTAATGGTGACCTAAATGGACAAGCTCAGACCAAACACTGTTAGTGACTCCTGACACCCTATTAGCCCTGACAAACACTGAACATGGAGCCATTCCATAAATCACACTACACTCAGAAACAAAAGTTATACCCACTTTTCCATTATCTAAGTGTCTTAGTCTCCCATTACTCTGCATAATTTTGAATTTCATTTGAATGTATGCATTTAAAAATAAAATGTGTATTCTAGTGACATTATTAATAAAAATTAGGATAAGCTTGGGTTTCTAAAGAACACTACTGCAAAAACTGGTATAGGGAAAGAATGTGATGAAATGTGTGCCATATGCACAGATCAGAACTTCAGAAATTGAGAAAGGGAAGTTACTCTGATCAGCCAGGTAGTCTATCATGTCTGTCTAATTTTAATATATTCTCAGAGTAGAGGGAGGTACAAATGGCTCATATTTTGTTATATATTTTTAGCTAACAGATTCCGATTACGGAGCTTGCAGTTTTCTCTCCCATATTCAAAATATAAGACAGATCTCAATATTCATCATACTATATTGTTTTAGGTATATTGATATTTTACATTAAAAAGTCTGGCAATGAGAAAGAAATTATTCTATCTATATGTCAAACAGTGAGGATAGTGGCTTATGAAGGGCTTCTAAGCATTATTACTAAGTTAAAACCACCTCAGGTTATATACAGTAAATGAAACAATAATGGACGATGCCTGTAATCAAACACATATTTCCAAAGTAATAAAAGTGACTTGCTTTCAGCTTTTTGCAAAAAGCCAAAATAATGTCTACATTTTTCAAACCTATATACTGCAAAAAAGCAATCAAATTATTTGGCTACCCTCTCATCTCTTTAAAGGAAAAGATCAGAAAGATACTTTCATTATTAGTTACATCAGCTGCTGTTTTGAGACCCAGATTTGGCTTGCAACACAAAAACTCAACTTTTTATGCTGTACTGGCCAGCCAAGGTAACTAACTTTCTCCAGCATTATCTACTGACCTGCCTTTCAATTGCCTACTTACCAGCTTCCATACTGGCTTTAGACTACTTATAAAACAGATTGAATTCTGGCTCCAAAAGATCTTTGTTGCTTAGTTCCATAAACCAGGACAGAGAGTACACTTTTTATTTCAGGAACATTCACAATATGACACAACTGGGATGAAAAAGGAGGCCATAAGTACATTTTAGTAGAGAGAAAGCAAAGTATATGGTAGCTGGCTTCAACAAAATACTGAGCTATCTGACTGAAACACTGAATTCTCTGACACCATGGAAAAATGACAAATTACTTGGCTGTAGAATAGCTGTGGCCTTGACTAAGATGAATTAGATTGTCCATACCTCACAAATCTTTCATTTCAGGACCAACTGCTTGAAATTCTTCCTAGTATTTTTATTCAGAATACTTTCTTATTGTTTCTTTTTTTTCATTTTTATTATTTTGAAAGTCTAGCTTTTCAGGAATAATTACCCTCTTTGTAGAAATCCTCCAACTTCATAAAATTTTCCCACAATATCAGGGACAGAGAAACAACAAGGCTCCTTCTGTTTCTAAGCCCTGTAGCACTCCTCTGAAACTCAAAAGATTCTAGACTGATCTATTCTGTTTTCTTTACAGCAAGGACACATGGTAAGTTTTCCCACTTCTCATTACCAAGCTATACTCCCCTCAGCTTCTACAGTGGTTTGAATCTTTGTCAGATCCAGAATCAGGTTCATTGAAGTGGAACTAGAATTACAGTATTCCTTCCTTGAGAAGATTAGCCATTATCTCCCGAAATACACATGTATTTCCTTCTCCTTTTGTAGATGGGTGTATTTTCCAAGTATTCACACAGAACAGAAGAAGAATCATAGAATAGTTTGGGTTGCAAGGGACCTTCAAAGGTCATCTAGTCCATTCCTCCTGCAATGAGCAAGGACATCTTCAACTAGACATCTTCATCTAGGCGTCCAGAACCACATCCAGCCTGGCCTTGAATGTCTCCAAGGAATAGCGCATCCACCACCTCTCTGGGTACCTATTCCAGTATTTTACCACCCTCATTGTAAAGAAAATTTTCCTCACATTCAGCCTGAATCTCTCTTCTTTTAGTTTAAAACCACGACCCCTCGTCCTATTGCAACAGGCCCTGATAAAAAGTCTCTCCCCATCTTTCTTATAGGCCCCTTTCAAGAACTGAAAGGACGCAATAAGGTCTCCCCAAAGTCTTCTCCAGACTGAGTGACCCTAGCTCTCTCAGCCTTTCCTCATAGGAAAGGTGTTCCATCCCTCTGATCATTTTTGTGGCCCTCCTCTGGTCCATGTCTTCCCTGTACTGAGGACTCCAGGCACAGTCTCACCACAGCAGCATAGAGGAGGGCAGAATGACTTCCCTTGACTTGCTGGCCACGCTCCTCTGGATGCAGCCCAAGATACAATTGGCCTTCTGCACTGCAAGCCCACATTGCCAGCTGATGTCCAATCTTTCATCTGCCAGTATCCCCAAGTCCTTCTCTTCAGAGCTGCTCTCAATCTCTTCATCCCCAAGCCTGTATTGTTGAACCTCATGAGATTCACATGGGCTCACTCCTCGAGCCTGCCCAAGTCCCTCTGGATGGCATCCCATCCCTCGGGTGTGCCAACTGCACCACTCAGCTTCATAACATCTGCAACCTTGCTGACAGCACACTCAATCCCACACTAGTACTCTAACTTCAATGTAAAACTACTAGTTCTGTTATACCTTACAAGTGCATGGATAGGGCAGTCTTCTCTTGAAGACAGAATAACTGCATTGAAATCCCAAATCAAGCAGCTTTCCATCCACAGTTGGTTTTTGCTTTTTTTTCAAATTTCAAGAGAATCAAGAGAATGACTATATCAAGGTGTGAAAAAATAACGTCATACAACAATTCTCCAAATGTGTAGGGTAAAAGAACTCAAAAACCCATGGAAAATAATTGCTTATACTGATTTAAGTTATAAATTGTAGGATATGTCAAGTTGGAAGGGACCCATAAGGATCATCAAGTCCAACTCTCTGCTCCTTGCCCCTTGCAGGACTAAAGCTAAAACTGAACCATATGACTAAGAGCATGCTCCAGATGCTCCTTGAACTCTGACAGGCTTGATGACAAAACCACTTCCCTGGGCAGCCTGTTCCAGTGACCCTCTCAGTGAAGAGTCTTTTCCTGATGTGCCATCTGAACTTTCCCTGATTCAGCTCCATTTCATTCCTTCGTGTCCTATTGCAAGTCACTAGAGAGAGGAGATCAGCACCTTCCCCTGTATAGGCAGGTGTAGACTGTCATAATGTCACCCCTCAGCCTTGTCTTCTCCAACCTGAACAACCCAAGTGACCTCAGCCACTCCTCATAAGTCTTGCCCCCGATACCCTATTCTGCTTTTTCCTTGCATCTCAGTAACCCTTGCATTTCAAATGATAGTGCCTTGTTAAGGTTTTCCTGGAAGTTTTTGGCGTAGCTTTAATTGGAAAAAAATGTCATAATACAAATAATGATCTTGAGCTGAAAGGTCAAAAAACTACTGAAAAAAAAACCAAAACATTTTCTACAAGTCTTATTCTGGTCCAGGAAGGTGAAGACAAAGAACACATTAAAAAAAAACCAAATCCATGAGTTTTGAACCAGGTGTTACTGAAAACCTTTTTCCTACACAAAGGTCCTTCAGAGCAAACTTCTGAGCCCTGATGAATTCAAGAGAGATACAATAGCCAAACAGACAACAGCAGCTGTGCAAATTTGCTTCACAATTACCATAACAATAATTCTCACAGTGAGCTTTTACTACTCAAAAACTTTGCCCATTAATTTTTTTAGTTCATTATGCAAAATACTGATGTCCTTCATGAAGAGCGCTTAAAACACAGCCTGAAGAAAATGGAAGAATTTTAAGTAGCTCTACAGAACTGCATTAGACAGTAAGAAAGCATTGAGCAAAAACCTGACAGCACCACTGTTCTTCATTTAGCTGTCTGCAATTAAAAATTTTATTTGCGTAAGATTTATTTTCCTAGGGGTCATTGTTTGTGGATCATACACAAGATTATCCATTTGTTCCACCCTGTCCAAATGCATCTTCTCCTATTCACAATCCATTCACAAGTGTGCAGTAATAATTAAATGTTATGGGATACTATCAAAACTGCAAATACCCCCATAACAATGCCATTTTTCAACATGGAATTATATCAGTTTTCAAGATACTGTTATTTTTGCTTCATCAGCATGTCCACAAAAAATAAATCAATGCCTTGTTAAAATAAATCAAAGAGCCTGCACGGAAAAATGTTCTAAAAGGATGAGTCTTTTAATTTTGATCTATTTTCTGGTTTATTGTACCTTATTTTCTCAGATACGGTAAACAATGATAAGAAAAAATTAAAGCCTAACGTGTACTTACTTGTGCTAAAATGGAAAGCTGATGGTGATAGGTTACTGCATTTTGATTAGCCTCCATGAAGTACCTCTGAGTTCGTCTCCTCTCCCGATCCAGTTTCTTCTCTAACATCAGGTGAGAGGTGGATAAAACATCCAGGTATTTCATCATCACATCAGACAGCAGTGAGCTAACTTCCACTATGTCTGGACGTGCCTCTGCGTCCAGAGTCAAGCATCTATGGATGAAAGAACATTCTTTAAAGAAAGCTAATTACTTCTTCCTAAAAAACTGCTTACTACCACTGCATTCCTCCACTGGTATTTACCAAACAATACGGGCTAGCACTCTGCTCAAGCCTGGAGGGGACAGTTCAACACTGCTCAGCCTTGGTGTTGATACACCACAGAGTACAGCATCTGGCATCAGCTGGGACAATTATCACCAACCCAGACAGAACTGCTGAGGGGCTGCTGCTGTGCACTCAGGCACACTAGGGTGTGGGTGATGCCTCTTCCCAGGCTGGGGGGAAGAGGACTCCTTTGTAGGGACTGTGCTCTGGTCAAGGCACTGCACCACTGGACAAAGCAGCTGTGAAGGAGGTGAGTGTGCTGTCAGGAAGATTTACAGGAGAATTCATTACTACAAAGTGCTGTAGTCAAGAATGAAGGGTAGAAGGACTGAGCTGGGGTTCTTCTTGATTCTTCCAGGCAGGCGCAAAGGTTCAAGTCAGGGTGGATGCAACTTGCAGTCTAGAGACTGGCTGCTTGGAGTCAAGATCTCCTGGGTAAGGGCAAGAGGACCAGAGAAACATTGTGGTGACATTGTGGGAGATTGTTTGGATGATGTAGAATCATCCAGAGAAGACGAAGTCAATGAATCCTTTGCTGGACAGGCAGAGAAAACTTCATACAGGCACTTATATTCATTGGGGCTTATTAACTACCCTGATATAAAATGGCCGAGTGCAGTAACCAGGACACTTCTGGAATATGTCAATGACAATTTCTTGGTGCAGCAGATTCAGAAGCTAGCTAGCAAAGGCACTCTGCCAGACTTGTTGCTCACAAACAAGGAAGAACCAGGCAGGACAGCCTCAGCTACAGCAGCCATCAAACTGGTTTGAACTGGAATTAAAAATCCTGGGAGAAGTGAGAAAAACAGGTTGTATGGCTATGATGCAGGACTTCAGGAGAGCAGAATTCAGCCTGTTCATGGATCTTCATGGTAGAATGTCACTGAAGACTGCTTTGGAAAGTAAAGGGAAAGCTTGGGAGAGCTAATCTTCCAGGATATCTCAAAGCACCAGAACAGCCCAATCCTGTGTATAGGAAACAGGGATGATCTACACAGGAAGAATATGCAGATATTACCTGAGAGGTGGAGCTAAGAAAGCCAAAGCTCAGCTGCAGCTGAAACTAGCAATGAATGTGGAAGGCAGAAGAAAAGCCTTCTGTAATTACACTGACAAGAAAAGAAAGGCTAAGGAAAATGGGGACCCACTATGCAAGCTAATGAAAAAGGACATGGAAAAGACTGGGATACTCAATCCCTTTTTTGCTTCCTTTTCCATTAGGAAACTTCGGCCTTAAGTGTTCCCAGGTCTCTGAGCCTACCTAATCACAGAGTCCATGAGCATGAAGCATTACCACACGATGGAAAATACAGCGAGAAAGCATTTAAGCCAATTGAACATACAGAAGCCCATGGGATCACATGAGATGAGCATGAGGGTGCTGATGCAACTAGTCAGTGCCACTATCTATCATGTCTGAAAGGATCAGAGGAAGGTTCCCATAGAGTGGAAAAAGATTAATATCACATGCATATCCAAGAAGAGCAAGAAGAATTATGCAGGCAGATTCTAGCCAGTCAGCTTCACCTCAGTCCCTGGGAAATAATAGAGCAAATTCCCCTGGAAGTAATTTCCAAGCACACAAAGAACAAGAAGGCAACTCAGAAGAGTCAGGATGGATTTCCCAAACAGCAGCCCTACCTGACTAGCCTGATAAATTCTAACTACAAGTATCTGAAAGTATTTAAAATATTAAAATTCATTACAGGACCTCTTAAACATAAATGTTAGTTCTATTAGCGCCTATCCTCTCTATTGTTGACCTTCATCCTCAAGGTCTTTAAATAATAAAAGCCTTTTTGTACAATAAAACACAGTATAAAAACTTTACAGTCTTGTACAGTAAAGTGGTTTTTAGAGATGGAATTCAATATCAGAGTGAGAAAGAAAAAGCATTTTTGTGTCAAGTGGAGTTTTTCTAAAATGGAAAAATCAAAGGAACTAAATTTCAGAAGTGCATCAATTCACTCTCTATACTTTGGCTTACACATTATATTATCACCAGGAAGACGTAATCATAGCTAAGAGAAATATGTGATGAGTAGAATAAATACAGGGTCACCTTTTCCTCCATTACTGCATTATCTTGTGCTTTCTTATATCTGCTGTCCTGCTAATAAGATTAAAAAGTACTGGGAAACGTATTTCCACCAGTCAAATAAACACACAAAATGATCATTGTGATCATACAATGATCTATAAATAATTTATTGCAACAGGCTGTTGTTGGACACAGGATTACTGCCTTGACTGTAAAGTGCACTTGAAAATGACTCAAAATACTGTGTTTTTCAGAGATTTATGTGTAGGGAATTAACCACAGCACTGGTATCATGAAACTTCAGTACCAAGTATAAAATCTTTGCTGGCTGGATAAATATGCTGACTATACAGGCATGAGTTTTCCCGCTGCATGTATGCAACTGTATCACATATTGTATTAGCAGGGTAAAGAGATACTTCAATTTTTCTTTTAAATCAGAAGATATTTAATATTCAGAGACAAATACAGGCAGTTGCTGAAGTCAGAAAACTGACACATTACCACCAGTGGAAACATACAGAACAAAACACCTTTTTGGCAGGATGTTGAATTAAAACTAGGTAAGTAATTACCTATTTATGATAAATGACACTTTTTCTGAGTACAGTCCTTCTGGTACAGGTTCATACACAGCTCCTACTATCTGCAAGATAAATAATCTACAGTTAGTTGAAGTAAAATATTCCACTGTTTATCTGAAGATCCCATAAGTATTGTTCCTTGAAACAACCTGATGGGCATTACATCGTCAGCTCTAATTTACAAAGCAGCTTAGAACACATCTTCTAATGCAGCATGTAACTTCTAATCAGGTATCCACATTAACGTACATAATAACTGTAGAATAAAGGGCTACAATACGTGAATAAGGGAAACATTAAAACAAACACTAATTTTATTTATGATCACATCCTATGGTGTAATGCACAATGCCATAGAAAATCCAATATTATAGCACATCAATAAATTTTACGTATCTAAAGCTCCTATCACCAAATACAATGATAAAAGTATGATAGTCTGAGAGGTAATAATACATTAATATTTCCAAGCAATTTTTGCAATTAGAATTGCAAAATAGCAATTCATACAATGATAAATGCTTGGCTCATTCATGCATCAGACCAGAGAGCAGTTTATGCATATATAACTTAAACATAAATTCTCAGGGATCTAGTGAACACATGCAAAAACAACTGATAGGATGATCTGCCAAATCTGAATACCTTAGTTGCCAAGGAGAGCATATTGGTGCTGTAAAATGGGGGGTTCAGAGTTGCCATCTGATAAAGGATGCATCCTGCAGCCCAGACGTCAGCCTTCTCTCCATACAGCTCACTCTTTACAACTTCAGGGCTAAGTCAAAAGCAGTGCAGCACACAAGTGTTTAATTGATTCACCTAGAAATAGGCTTATTTAAAAACAAAAAACCAAAACCACCCTACCCAATATTTAGTTGGTCACTACAACGTATTTTCAGAGTACACACAATTACATTGAAGAGGATGCATTTTTTACTTTACCAAACAAATTCTTTAAGTAGAAGTATCATTAATAGCTTTTCCACTTCTACCACAGTTGCTCCCACAAATACTAGTGGTTTATATTTTGTTTACTTGTCTTTTCCATTCATTTCATGTTCGAATGCCATTGGACTTAATGGAATCAAATAAACTGCAGCATTCAGAACTTGCTTACAATGATGTAGTCCAATAAAATGGATTAGATCCTCATGCAATTCAGGTTTGAACAGATTCCTATAAATAGGAATATTTATATATATATATATAAATATAGAAAAAATTGAATAAGATTCCTATAAATATAAAATGTTAATCAATATCATTTTGCTAATAATGTGAGTAAACAAATTTTACTCATTATATCATTTGCATCCTCTTAAAACTACTGTAATGCATTCCCTGTGAGGATGCCATGTGGACACTCAACAGCCAGCTGAATGATGATAAAAAAATCCATTGTAAAGATCCATTTAAAATAAATGGAAGGTAGCAGTAATTTCAGCTGTGACTCAGTACAAAGCAGACTCCACTGCACTGACAGGGTTGTAGTTTTAGTATGGTTTCACACAAAAGCATAATAGCTGCAAATTAATTAAGTCATTTGGCCTGCTTATCATGCTGAAAGACTTCTTGTTCTAAATGCCTATCTAATACTTTAAAAAAAATCAAAAGGACTTGCAGCAGAGCACTACTTGGTCTTGTGTTTAGTCAGAAGTCTCTGACATTTAGAGCATTAGGATGACCCATACCTTAAATGAAGACTGTCTCATGTTTAAGAAGTACTTTAAATTACTGAAGTAATATTTGTGTAAGGTGACCATGAAAGTTTTATAGAGATATGCTTTCATGGATAGTTAATTCTGTAATTTAATTTTTTTAAATGGAATTAATAAATAGAATTTAAATAGAATTAAGTAGAATTTTCAAATATTATTTATTTACTTTCAAGAGATGTAGTGAAATCCCTCACCATGTTCTACAGGCTTGCCTCACCATATGCTAGATAGAAGTGTGGGAGGCGTAGAGTACTTGTTGACTAGTAAAACAGTTCTGCAGTTGAGCTGCATCTTTTGGATCCACACTGTTGAGGAATGCCAAGCAGAGAAAGTACCCAGTTCTGTTCCTATTCACTGCCACCCACAAACAGGAGGGTGGTGGGAGTACATATGGTTTACCTAATTCAGTTGACAACTGTGCATAAACTGTCACTGCCTGGTCAAGACCAGAAAGAATGAGTAGAACCAGACTTTGAATTTTATTCCATAAAAACCCTACAAAATTGGTTTCAGCCATAATTAATTGAAAATTAATTCAAGGGTTAGCATTGGTATGACATTTTTTTTGTTTATTTGTAAAGGCAGGATTCCTCCTTTAATTCTTAGATGAAAAGATCTCGATTGTCTGAAATAGGACAGTGACACTAATTAAATTTTTAGCAAACAGACGTCCACATCATGAAATGCATTGTGTCAAAATAAGATACATAAAGGGAGAAACATTCACGGCGGATGATAAAAAATTTCATTTCCATTTTTCCAAGGGCTGATCATACTGCTATGAAGCTGCAGTATATACTCCAGAGATACATACTCTGTAATATTCACAGTCTTGAATATTAAAAGAGGAAACAGATACTTATGTAATTAGTCACTTAATTCTAATATATTCAAGATAATCACTACAGTTTTCCCCTATGTTTATAAATCACGGCTCATTTCCAAATTAGATATTCAAGTGGAAAAAGCTTACTTCAGCAGCATTATGTTAACTGTAGGAGAGTCCCTTGCTAAAAACATGTGCATAGCAAAAGCAAGACTATATTTCTCTCATATAGAATCATAGAATAGTTAGGGTTGGAAAGGACCTTAAGATCATCTAGTTCCAACACCCCTGCCATGGGCAGGGACACCTCACACTAAACCATGCCACCCAAAGCTTTGTCCAACCTGGCCTTGAACACTGCCAGGGATGGAGCATTCACAACCTCCCTGGGCAACCCATTCCAGTGCCTCACCACCCTAACAGGAAAGAATTTCCTCCTTATATCCAATCTAAACTTCCCCTGTTTAAGTTTTAACCCATTACCCCTTGTCTTATCACTACAGTCCCTAATGAAGAGTCCCTCCCCAGCATCCCTATAGGCCCCCTTCAGATACTGGAAGGCTGCTATGAGGTCTCCACGCAGCCTTCTCTTCTCCAGGCTGAACAGCCCCAACTTTCTCACCCTGTCTTCATACAGGAGGTGCTCCAGTCCCCTGATCATCCTCGTGGCCCTTCTCTGCACTTGTTCCAACAGTTCCATGTCCTTTTTATGTTGAGGACACCAGAACTGCACACAATACTCCAGGTGAGGTCTCACGAGAGCAGAGTAGAGGGGCAGGATCACCTCCTTCGACCTGCTGGTCACGCTCCTTTTGATGCAGCCCAGGATACGGTTGGCTTTCTGGACTGCGAGTGCACACTGCCTGCTCATGTTCATTTTCTCATCAGCTAAAATATATTTCTCTCAAATGTGTCATGGTTTAAGCATCAATTCCTTAGAGCTTCTAAAGCTTCTAAAAAAGTGTCAGTACTATCTGGCTGACTGTACATGGGACAAAATCAGTGAAGATTTCCCAAGCTGCACAGAACTTCAAGAAGCCATTCAGAGTTGTCTTGGTACAGTGTTCACTGTTAAACGAAATGCTTCTGAGGGGTGAAAGAACAAGCTAGTATATGTCAGTGTACCAGCTTCTCCTCATACGTGCAGTAATGAGGAGTATTTCCAAATAAGACGTGATTTCAACTAGACTGTTATGGATTAGTTATGAGTTTTTCTTCAAGATTGATTCCCAGAAGAGGCAATGGCTATAATGAAAGAGTGAATAAATAAGCAGCATAAACCACTATAGAAGATTTCAACAATGACAGAGTTACTGCTTTTAGTCTTTATCATACCTCCAATTAGTTATTTAAAGTTTGATGGAGATTGCTGCAGTTGGTGGTGGTTATACAAACACTCAAGCCTAGAAACCATGTGTAGATCAGGAAGCAACCCAAGCTGAAACTAGAGGCTAGCAAAGTATCAAATACGCTCATTGCATTCTTCGTTCCCTGCCACTGTTGGAGACAAGACAGTAGGAGAGATGGTAGACAAGTTTGACAAATACTAACAAACCTTTTGTTTGGTTGGGTTTTGGGTGGTTTTTTGGTCCCAAATACTATAAGAGTCTCTCTAGCTCTTCAGATTTGTCTACCGTATCTTTTTTACCTTTGTTAAGATATCTATAAAATAAGAGTTGCTTCTAATAACCTTTTTAGTTGCTGGCAGAACTCATCAAAGCAATGTCAAGGAAGAGATTGACATAATCTTTGTACCTGTAACTACCTGATTCACTGTGAAAATGAGACTGCCATTCTCTGGGCCAGGATAACTAGGAATTTATACAGTAGTGTCTTGAAAACCTTCACAGATAAAGTCTACACAACCTCTCCAGGCAGCCTGTTCTAAATTTGACTGTTATAATGATGAAAAAAACCCTGTCTTACATCAAGTTAAAATCTCTCCTGTATCGATGAATGTCCATTTTCTCAGAAAAGTGCCAAGACCACCAATTTCAGTTCAAAGAATAAAAAAATCAAGGGTATGCTTGCTTTTGGGCACCATTTCTATGTTTCTGTGAACCAGGGGGCCCATTTTCATTTTACTAAAACTATTGCAGGATAATTTGTGAGTGTTTGGATACCAGTATGATAATACACAGATCTACCCCATAGTCAGTTCTCTGAATCACAGAAGGAAGAGGGCAAAATAAGGGAGGGGGAAAGGGGGGATAAAATAGAAGATGCTCACCATTAGCATCATTCCAAGGAGTAAAAAGGGTGAAAAAGAAAAAGAAACAGTTGCTGCTTATCACAATTCTTCTCTTCTGGAGAGTTTGCTGTAAGCTACAGATACACATTCAATATTTTAGCTTCATAATTACTACTACAAGCAATGGAAGAAGAAAGAGGAGCCACAAAACTGACAGTTTGAATAAATTGCTGTGAAAATTGCTGAAACTATTTGCATTTCTCACCTACAAAAAGAATTCAACACAAGCCTTTGGGGATATTCTGTCTGTCCTTTGAATGATGAATCTAGAACACGATTTTTCAATCACTAGTTAAAAATTTTGCCTTCGTGGTTTTCTATTTTGAAATGTATTGCCAAGTAATTCTATAATAAATTATTACATTGTCTTCTATGTTGCATACATTTTTCTCATTACAAACTATGCTAAATTTTTTTGTGAATTTTATATTTATATATATATAAATCATGTATATATGATTTCTTTTTTACAGAAAACACCTTTCAGGCGTCCTAAACCTCTGCTGACACAGAGTAAAATTAATCATTCCCCATTTTTTAAAATATATGAGGGTAGGGAAGACATTTACTACATTCAGTTTGCAATCTTTTGGTGCAATAAATCCTCTTGCCAGTGGATGGGAATGTAATTTTAAAATGGGTGAAGACAGCTAGAAGAGGTAACTTTCATGTGTATAATTGCTTTCTCATCAGTGAAATCTCAACATTTTCATTTTCTAGTCTAAGCATTGCCTGTCTTTGCCCAGGAAGTTCCTCTGCGTTCATATAGTTTAGTCTATAGAGAGGCAAAACCAATCTGAGGTCAGTGACAGGCTATTAATAACTGTAGGATACAGCACACTGTATTATAATACTTTCCTTATGTTTTTATTAAAATCTTTATTAAAAGAACAAGCCTGGATTGATGTGGAAGGACACTTTTCAGTGCAAATAGTAGTAAAGCTGTCTAGTCTATCTCAATCTGAAATATTAATGAGCAC